ACTTAATAACAGGGAAAAACAATAAAAAATGGATAAAAAATTTGAACAGATACTTCATCAGACAAGATAAAAGGATGGCAAATAAGCACATGATGCTTATCATCACAGTCTTCAGGGAAACATAAACAATGATATACCAATACACACCTTTTGGAATGACTAACATTTGAAAGAATGAACATGCCAAGTGTTGGCCAGGAAGTAGAGGAACTAGAACTCTCATGCACTGCTGGTGAGAAAGTAAAATAGCAAAATCCTTTTGAAAAAGAGTTGGCCATTTCTTAAAAATGTTACCATATGATCCAGCCATTTCAATTCTAGGTATTTACCCAAGAGAAAATAAAGCATGTGTCCATTCAAGAATGTTTGCCTAAGTGTTTCTATCAGCTGTATTAATCTTCTATTTTTGCATGACAAATTTCCCCAAATTTTAGCAGCTGAAAAAACACATACACTCATTATTTCACAGTTTCCATGGGTCAGGAGTTCAGTCATGGCTTTGTAGGATGCTTAAGATCTCTTAACTGCATCCAAGGTATTGGCCACACTGCACTCCTTTCTGGAATTCAGGCTTTTTCCAACTCACATGGTGACAGATTCAATTCCTTGTGGTTGTAGGGCCAAGGTCACTATTTTATTGCTGGATGTCACCCAGGGACTATTTTTAGCTCCTAGAAGCCATGAGCATTTCCTGGCCATGTGGGCCTCTTATAACATGACAGCCTACTTCCTGAAAGCCAGCAGGAGAATCTCTCTCCAATCTGCTAAGATGGAGTCTTATATAACAAAACATTATTGACAGAGGTGAGTATCCAATCACCTTTGTCATATTCTATTGGCTAGAAAAAGTCACAGGTTCTGTTTACACTCAAGGAGAAGGGATTCCAGAAGAGCATGACTCACTGTGTCATCTTAGGGTGAATCTACCACAGCAACTTTTATATTTGTAACAGTTTCCAGTTTAAAACAACTCAAATACCCATCAACAGGTGAATGGATAAACAAGCTGCAGTATTTCTATACAGTGGAATACTACTTAGCACTAAAGATGAATGATATATACAAAACATGAATCAATCTCAAAATAACTGTGCTGAGTGAAAGAAGCTAGACAAAAACAAGTGCTTACAGTATGATTCCATTTATATAAAACTGTGGAAAATTCACACTAATCTACAAGGTCAGAAAGCAGATCAGGGATGGTCTGGGAATGAGTCAAGGGCAGGAAGTGCTGAGACAGGAGAGAGACATTACAAAGAGGCAGGAGTAAAGTTCTGCGAGTGACAGATATGTTTACAATCTTAATGGTAGCGATGACTACATGGCTGTTTCATAAACAAAGTGTTTCAAGCTGCATACTTTATATAGTTCAATTAATTGTATGTCAATCATACCTCACTGAAGCTGTTTTTTTTTAAAACATCTATTTTCAGAATCAAATTTGTTTAGATATTGCTGCTTGTTAATGAAAGCTTCCCTTTTCATCACTTGAGTTTTCCAAATTTATTTTTTAGTAGATTCTAAGACAATGCATTGCAGGCGGATTCTTTACCAACTGAGCTATCAGGGAAGCCCCCGATGAAATAGTAGTTTTTTTTTTTTTTTTCCAAAAAGCCCCATTTACATATTTAGCTACTTGTTTTATATCCACTTCTTAAGATTCTGTTGCAGTATAGGTCATTACAGAGAACTGAGTTCCCTGTGCTAAACTGTAGGCCCTTATTATCTATTTTATATAGAGAGGCGTGTATATGTCAGTCCCAATCTCCCAAATTATCACTCTCCTCGCTTTCCCCCTTTGGTGACCTTGTTTTCTATGTCTGTGACTCTATTTCTGTTTTATAAATAGGTTAATTTGTACCTTTTTTTTTTTTAAGATTTCACCTATAAGTGCTTATCATATTTGCCTTTCTCTGAAACAGCAGCTTTTGTTTGAGGTGGAAAGAATTGTGGCAGCTGTTGGAATGTGGGTCCTACATGATGAGATCTCCTTAAATGGATTTCTATCTGGTTAGCTTATACTTTGAAGATTTAGTGGGAGAGTCAGATGGGCAAACATATAACAATATAACTGCACACAGCTACACACACACTCTATGAGAGTCTGGGGGTGGGTATGCGGTGTGCAGAGAAGATGTTGTGGAGATGGTACCTGAGTGAGTTTCAGGGGATGAAGAGGAGTTGATCAAGTGAGGAAGAGAAAAGGCATTACGGGAAGAGAAAATAACACAAGCAGAGACAGTGAAACAGGAGAGAGCTTGTTACATGTGGGAAAGCAGGAGTTCAGGCACAAGGTGGGGAATCGCAGTGGATGAGGATGAAGAGGGTGGGTGAGGGCTGACATGGTGCACACAGTGATGGGGACCTTATCTTTCAGGTAGAGATTCCCTGAAGAATTTTAGGTAGGTGAATGACGTCATCAAAAAAAAAGTATAATCTCATCTGTGCATGAAAAGGGCTTCAAAATATACAGTGATGGTGAGGACAGGAATGAGAAGATGGATTTAAGACATTGAATGGACAATATGCTAAATTTTGGGCATCAACAAGCCATAAATGAAAGAGTGAAGTCTATAGTGATCCCCAAGTTTTTATCTTGTGGTTATTCCCTAACTGAAAAAGGAAGCATAAGAGGCAGGAGGTAGTCTGCTGGGGGTGGGATGAAGAGGAGGAAATGAGTTTAAGTTGGGCTTGTTGAGTTTCAGGTACACTGGAAAGTTAAAGCAAAGGTCTTTTAAGGCAGGTAGAAAAAAGTCAGAGACTAAGAATACACATGGGTGGTGCAACTCTCATAGCGGCAAGATGTCCAAGAAAAATGTGTTGAGGACAGCACTGGGCTACAGACCAAAAGAACCTTTCACCAAGAGCTAGGAGTAAAAGGGAAATGCATATTGAAGACCCAGAATGAATGGTCAGTGAAGGTAGCTAAATTAACTATCCTGTTCTACCAATTAAAGTATCTATTACAAAAACTTGTTCTCTCCCCACTTGCCCCCACCACCCATTTTCACCCCCAGGTCTTCTGGTTGTAGGAAAGGAAAGTAACAAATGCAACTACTTTGCCCTAAAGAAAAGATAAGAAACAGACAGGATAAAATACATTATGAGACAGCTGATGTCAAGGAAATATTTTTGATTGACTGCCCTGTCCAGGACTTCTTGGTGACTGCTGTTTATCTGTTGACAATTCACATGCTTGTCCTCCTAGAGAACTATCAGAGAAGAGTCAGAAGCCCAGCCTCTGCTGGGACCATCAGCAAAATGCACCTTTGAGCTACATTCTGTAGTTTCACTGAGGTATGGGGTAGGCCATGCACTGTGGCTCTTTTACTAGATGTAGAAAGAACTATAACTGCTATGGAGCTGGATGGGGGTGGTGAATTTGGCTCTGACTGTACTTTAGCATTGATAAAATGAGGAGAGATCTGAGACAGCTGCTAGAATTGTGTGGTTCTGCTTGGGGAGGACAACAAGATCCAGCACTACAACCTGTTGAGAACTTATTTTATGAACTACCACAGGTAGACTTGGAAATATCTACTAGCCAGGGAAGTGCCCAGACATCAAAGTATATAGACAGAGCTTTTGTCTTTTTCCATAGCAACTAAAATCAGTTTCTCTAGAAATAAGGGAGAGACCTATTTAATACCTAGATCCAAGGTAGGATAGATGGATTGATAGATAGAAAGATAGGTGGGTAGATAGGAAGACACATAATTTGTGGTGTTTGGGGGAGAACTGTGTTGTGTAGGTAGGGAAGCTACAAACTAAGTCTCTTTTTTAAGCAAGGCTGAAACAAGGGTTTCACAGGTGGCGCTAGTGGTAAAGAACCTGCCTCCTAATGCAGGAGACATAAGAGACAGGGGTTCAATTCCAGGGTTGGGAAGATCCCCTGGAGGAGGAAATGGCAGCCCACTCCAATATTCTTGCCTGGAAAATCCCATGGACAGAGGAGCCTGGTGGGCTACAGTCTACAGGGTTGCAAAGAGTTGGACACGACTAAAGTGACTTAGCACTTAGCACATAAACATTAAAAAACACAGAGAGAAAAGTGATCAATAATATCCAATATAGCCTAGAGGCCCACTAAGATATGACATCTGTTGAATTTGGGAAATATGGAAGTTTTTGGTGATCATAGTGAATTTTAACCTAGCATAAGATAGATTTTATTGTGCATTGCATGCAAACATGAACTAAAGAAATAGAGTCTGTGACAGATTACTATCAACAAATCTGAGAAAATATGAATGATATAGTATTGAGGGAGGTGAAAATGCAGGGTCAGAGGTGGAGATGTAGTTTAGGAGAGATTTCAGTGTATTTTCACGTTGGGGTAACACAACAACAACAAAAAAGGGAAAGAATAAAGATATGGGAATATAAGGGGATGGTTAGTGAAGGTCAAAGAGAAAATAGAGCATGTCCTCTAGGAGAAAACAACAGAAACACTGGTGAACTGGACAGATGACATCCTGTCCCTTGAACATGGAGGAAATAAGATGCTAAACCAGGCAGATGGAGATAAATGTATAGATCCTGTGTGTGTGTGTGTGTGTGTGTGTCTGTATGTGTGTGTGTGTGTTAGTCACTCAGTCATGTCAGGCTCTTTGCAACCCCATGGACTCCTCTGTAGCTCACCAGGCTTCTCTGTCCATGGAATTCCCCAGGCAAGAATACTGGAGTGGGTAGCCATTCCCTTCTCCAGGGGATCTTCCCAACCCAGGGATTGGACCTAGGTCTCCTACACCGCAGGCAAATTCTTTACCATCTGAGCCCATGAATTCTCTACTTGGGTTAATGTCCAGCCTGAAACTCCTGAGTACTCCTCTCCAATACTAGCCTCTTCCTGATCCAAGTCCTGCCAGCAAAAATGTGTGTCTGATAGTCTAAAACTCTGGATGTAATACCACTAATTGGAAAACCATAATGAATACTGCTGCCTGGCTAACTTGGGGTCAAACAATGAAAGAGAGCTCAAAAAAGTCCAAAGCAACATATTCACTGATTCACACTTATATTTCTAATTTGTTGTTGCAGTGAGAGGATGAGACAAACTTGAAAAAAAAAAAAGGAAGCCAAGCTGTGAGTCTTCCAGAGTTGCTCCATGAAGCTGAGCTATGGTTGAGACTGTTCATTTTTTAAGTCCTGGAGCTTAATCTTCCAAAGCATCTGTATCAAGGGAGTTGGTCCAGGCAACCAGATCGTCCACTTCGTTTTCCCATGGCTCATTTATGCTAACTTCAACCGACTTTCTCTTCCACCATTCCTTTTTTTGGTCCTTCTTTGTGACAGTATCTGTTTCAGTTTGTGAATCAGGAGAAGTTTGAACTATAATAAGAAACACGTAAAACAGAAATTTAATAGACATGGCAGGAAAAACAGTAAAAGAAAGTGTCCCTGCATTTGTACCATAATGCCTAAGATCATCTAAGTGAATGCAAGTAACCTTTTTAAAGTTTCTAAATTTTACAATTGCAATGCGCTTATTTTTCAAAAATCATTCTTTTCATTTTGGCCAATCTTCTTATGCTCATATATTTACTGAGCCCCTGCTAAGTGCCAGTAGGTGTACAAGCGAAAGGTGTCCCTGAGTGCTTCACATAGATGTGAGCACAAGGATGGAATCACTGGATCTAAGGGAAAACAGATGTGGGCTTTGAAAGCCAAGAAGTTTGCTGAAGAGAGAGGGGCAAAGGAAGGAGACGGGACCACTTTAGATGGAGGACACAGCACAGACCACAGCCCATAGGTATGAGAGAGAGAACTTGACAGGTTTGGAGGTAATCAGAGTTGATGTTTCAGTATCTACGCTCTGCCAGGTGCTATGCTAAGCATGTGCTACATGTAAAATATAATTTACCTCATACACAATGCTTATGATGGACAGGTATTATTATCTTTACTTTAAGGATGAGACAATTGAGACTAAGTAGCCTGCAGTAAATTGTCCAAGGACATTCAGCTTATAATAGTTAATCATTGGTCTGCTGGATCCCAAATCACGGTGTTACAGTGTGTGGACAGTTGAGTGGAGCTGGCTAGTTAGGCAGAAGGCCAGGTTAGGAACGCCTCATATATCATGCAAAGAAGTCTCATCTTTCTTGTATTGGTCTCATAAAGAGGGAAATAAACTGATTACATTTTAAAAGAATACAGATACAGTATCTTTATTTCTCAATATTTCTACCCAGTGAGGAGATCTTGCTTTCCAGGGATGAACCCAAGTTGGTGCTATTTATGTTCCGCTACCCCTACAAACCCACTGTATTCTCCTCTGTGTACCTGTTGCCCCTAATTCATTGCCTAGCACGTGGTCCAGGACAAATTCCATCTCATAATAGTTCTGTGTTTATTTCCCCAGTAACAAATCGAATGACCCTTGTCATATTCATTGTCTTCTAGTTGTGCTATAGGCAAGGATTATGAATGAATTGTTCTCTTGATTTCTTTGGTTATTGCAAAGATTTTCAGAGGATTTGAGTTTAGACAGCTGCCATTATTCTATAAGAAGCCTGATGTCACCAATTATTGAGTTTTTATTTTTATACTTTAACATTAATCTCTAGATTTCATTAATTTAGAACTAAATCCTCTTTTCCTTGAGAAAATCTTTATGAACATATCATTGATGGATTAACTATACTTCTTTCTAGCCATGTTTGAGCTGTTCTGAGTTCATATGCTTTTGGTCACAAGAGATACTGTTCAAACCAGTTTAAGCAATAGAGAAGTGTCTCATCTCATAGAAGAGGCAGATCAGAGGAAGGGCAGGACTGAATGATACAGTGGCTCAACGATGTCATTTAGGACATTCTTTCCACAGTTTTGCTCTACCATCTCTGGTGTTGTCTTCATCTTCAGAGTCACAGTGAAGAGAGGTGTGGTCATTCTAGTACTCATATCAGACACAGCAATATCCAGAGGAGAGATGAGGTCTTTTCTCCAGGGTCTCATTTTTAAAAGTAGGAAAACTATCTCTGCAAGCTCCTAGTATATTTCCTCCCAGGATGGTTTGTGTCACACCCTGCTCCTAAACTAGTCACTGGCAAGGAAAATGAGATTACTATGACTGGTCAACAACAGTTGTTAAAGTGGAATGAATATTGGGAGTCAATGGCCTTGATTATTTGCCCTCTTAGTTCCTACTGTTTTTTTTTTTTTCTTTAAAAAAAACAAAAACAAAAACCACACTCCCAGGAAGCATAAAGAGAAATTCTGGCTAGATTAGCAGAGCCTAATGCAAAATAAACATAAAAATGTTTCCTCGTGACACAGAAAAAGTAAATATTATTTTGAACTTTGTTCCTCCAGAAAATCGTAAGCATTATAAACCCCTCTGAGAAACCTTGGATTTACTGGTTGGAATGAACCAATAGCTTTGTTACTACATTAAAATAAGTTACAGAAGCACAAATTCTCATTGCCTTATGGTTTGTATGCCTTTCTAGGGATGGATCCCCTGCTTCTTAAAATTTTTTTTCTAGTCTTAAAATAATTTTGTCAGTGAAGAGACTAAATTTTGTTCTGATTGGTGGGCTCTGGTTTATTGCCCGATGGTTAATTTCCATTCACTTCTGTATCACCCTCAGTTTAGTTAGAAAAACAGAGCCCTTATAAGTAATACAAGGATGAAAGGTTTAAGATATGAAACAGGGATCACATATGTGTGGAAAGACCTGGAACAGTGAAGTCTGGAAGGCCATAGCTGGAGAACTGTGGAAGGCCATAGCTGGAAGAACATCACTGCTTTATGTCAGTCTGATGCAGGGACATGAGTGGAAACACCAGGAGGGCAAGGGGAGCGCAAGATGCAGCACACAGCTAGCCACTCTACATGGGATAGACATTGTGAGCTCATGGGGGTTTCTATGAAGCCCTCACATCTGTAAAGTGAGAGTGTGTGAAGAGCTGCATGAAATTGCTGTGTCTGAGACAACTGCCATGTATGATACACACGGCTCCTCAAGAATTACGGCCTCTTCTTTACTCCCACCTCCAAAATTTGAGATTAATTTTTTTCACATTAGCAAATTATGATATGCTAACCCTTCTCTGCAAAAGGGAAGCACAGAGTTCATTTCTTTTATAGCTGAGCCATATTTCCCTTTGGTATCCTGGATAAGCTCACTCTTTCTACATTATAAACAACCACAAGATCCCAGTGACATATGACAGCAAGCATTTATTTAGGTTACACATCTACAGGTCAGCTGAGAGTTGTCCTCTCTGGGTTGGGAATGGCTGGGAAGCTTGGTTGGGAAGCTTGGTGACCAGATGGCTAGTCCAGGCATGCTCTTGGGATGATGGCAGACGTGAAAAAGAGCAAACCAAATTGCACAAACCCTTCCCAAACTCTGAGCACATCACACCTCACTAAAATACCATTGATCAAAGCAAGTAGTATGGCAAAGCTCAAAGTCAAGGGTCAAGGGAGTATATTTTGCCCGTGGTGGTAGAACATGATAGGGAGTGAAGATTTCTGAACAATAATCTAATTGGTCACAACCTCTTAGGTATAGTATCTTCTCTTAGCAGGAAGATTAGACACAAAGAAGAGTCTACCTCAATTTCAAAGCGGACATGGCTCAGCACTAGAAATTAAATGATTTACTGGACATTCTTTAAAACATTCTCTCTCCCAGCTCACATTTCTTACTTTTTCTCATTCACCACGAGTTCATTCCCTTTTTCTCCAAAATCACAGGGCTGCTGAAACCATGACAACTCTACTCCATTCTATCATTCATTTACTCACTTGTTTATGAGCACTGAATTACTACTACATGCCTATTACTGTGCAGAGAGGTCAGCAGCCCCTTCCCTCAAGGAAGTCACTTTCTATTGAATGAGACTGGCCATAAAGAGACCATTATAACATGGCATGTGTGGTGGACAGACTCTAAAGTGACTTGTTATGATCTCCACATTCTGGTGTTAACACCTTTGTGTAATCCCTTCCCTTTTGAGTGTGGGTAGGACTTGCTACTTGCTTCTAATCAATGAAACATGCGAAAGGTAATGAAATCTCATCTCCATGATTATGTCACATTATGTAAGATTCTGCCTTGCTATTGGACTTGTTCTAGAGACTCTCCTTGCTGGGTGGATGAAGCAGGAGGCTGTGTTAGGAAAGCCCACACGACAATGAACTGCAGGCAACCTTAAAAGCATAGGAAGGCCTCCAGCATACAGCCAGCAAGAAAAGCCTTAGTAAAGACAAGGCTTTGAATTCACAAGGGAGTGAATTCTGTCAACAATTCTGTGTATTCACCTCATTGAGCTTACAACAAACAGATTCCCCATTCGAGCCTCCAGATGAGAATGCAGCCCAGCTGACACCTGGACCACAGCATAATGAGATCCCAACCAGAGAGTCCTGCTACACTGTGCCTTGTCTCTGAGCACACAGAAATTGAAATAAAAATATGTGTTAGTTATAAGCCATTAAGTATATGGCAATTTGTTACATACCAATAGAAAATTAATAGAGCATGATAAGGCATGATAGAAATGCTATGAGAGCCCACAGGGAAAGATTCTTAGAAAAACCTGAGTTGAATCTCAAAGGATTAGGTACTAGAAAGGAAGAAAAAAGCAATGGTCGTTGGGGGCGGGTAATAAGAAAACGGCGCACCTCTCAAATTTTTTTGAAATGAAGACAGGAATAAACAACCATGACCTCCTAAGTCAGTGTGGTGTTTATGGTGTAAGTAAAACATCAGTAAATGATATCACAGGACAGGCAGACAGATATTAGAGTATTAAGGACTTTGCCTTATCAAAGGGTAGAAATTTTATCCTGAAGGAAATGATAAACAAGAGGTTTTAGATATGTGAAAAACATAAGCAGATTTGAGCTGTAGAAAGCAGTCTGACAAAGCATGAACAGAAATTATTGTAATCATCAACTTAACCAGATAGATATGGAGCCTGGGAACAGGAAGTTAGAGATAAGGGAGCAGGACCTTGCAGAATCACTGAATGAAGGTTACTGCGTGTTTCAAGGACAGGCAACAGCAAAAGCAGTAACTAATAGTTCATAAGACTTCCCAGTTCACAAAGACTTTTTACCTATGCAGAGTCATTTAGTCACAAGAATCCTGTGAGGCAGGGAAGGATTTTAGAAACAAATACATATTGAACATTTTTCCAGCTCTAGCTGAGGATGAAGAAACTGAAGCTCAGAGGTTAAGAGGCTGTCCTATAATCACACAGACCTGCTGGCTCCACCCAAATTCTCTGACCCTAAACATTTTGCTTTCCCCTCTACAGTAGCTGATTTCCATGATAAATTACCAGCTCTCTCTTATTGCTTAAGACCTGCCCCCAATCTGCTCCAAATGTTTCTTTGAAAAACATTAATTCTAAAAAAATAAAATACCCAAAATATCTCAACTAACTTAATTCTTTCTTTTTAGTCATATTGCAGTTATCTCTAAATCTAAAATGAGCTCTAGGAGTCAGTTTAGTGTTTTGCTTATTTTTGCTACTTTTATACATTTTGAAATTTAGCCTTAGATTTTCAAACTGTGTATTCACCTATTAAAGGCTACAAAAGCTTGAGAGTAAAACTAATCCATTTTTTTCAAAGCTCAAATTCTTATATAAGTAATTTACTGAATTTATTTTGTTAGTCAGAGTTAATAAAGCAAGTTCAAAAGGAGAACAAAAGATTAGACCTCACACATCTCAACTTATTTGAACTAAACAAAAATTCAAATGCATTAGTGCGACGACGATCTTAGTCCTTAAAACAAAGTAAAACAAATAGATTAAACTCAGTTTACTCGGAGGTACGCAGATATAACTTCTTCTAGTTTGATAATTGACTTTCTGAATGTTTATATTTTCTCTAGCAATCCGAGATATGGCAGCAATATACCTAGAATACAAAAAGAAGAAGCTGTCACTTACGAATATAAATGGATAGGCCAAACCAATTTCTAGAAAATAATATTTAAAAAATCATTGTTAACTTTTGATGTCAATGTATTGAATAAGTTGGTGAGTTTTTCTTCCCCTCTGTTTTCTGGAAGACTACGTATAAGGTTTGAGTGACTTATTCTGGAAACTTAGGTTAAAAAAAAACTATTAAAAACATTTGTACTTAGTTAAAAGACGAAGAAATTGTCTAATTTCTATGAATTTTGGGATGTGTACATTACTTTTGAAAAAAATAAGGCCAACAAATCCAATGAACCCAAGAAGCAGAGCAATGAGTTTTGACTATGGTGCCATTCTGAGTATCGATTAATGCAATGGTAAACTGAAATTACTCTGTATGCATTTTCCAGTGGAAGAGTATCTAGAAAAGTAAACAAACATGGTGTTAGAGTAATATTTTAAGAGTAATAAAAACATCATTTGGTATGCCAAGGTAGGTAAACTTCTTAGAGCAGCCATAACAAATTACTACAAACACGGTGACCTAAAATAACAGACATTTAATTTCTCATGGTTTTGGAGACTAAAGTCTAGAAACAAGCTGTTGGCAGGACCATGCTTCCCCCAAAGGCTTCAGGGAAGAATCCTTCTTTGCCTCTTCCTAGCTTCCACTAGTTCCCAGCAATCCTTGATGCTCCTGGCTTCTACCATCATTATTCCGATCTCTGCCTCCATCACCACATGATCTTCTTTCCTGTCTCTGTGTCCTTTTCTTTTCTTATAAGGACACCAGCCATTGGATTTAGGGCCTCCCTTAATTTAGTATAGCTTCATCTTAACTAATATCTCCAAAGATCCTCTTTTGAAATCCTTTTTTGAAATAAGGTTATAATCTGAGGTGCTGGGTGGACATGAGTTTGGGGTGGAACACTTCAACCCTCTACAGAAGAGAACAACTTCACCAGAAAAATTCTTGACATACCTGGTAGAAGACATCAAGGAACCCAAGTCAAGCTACCACAGCATTTCCTTAGAGAAGGAGTTCATATAAGGAAATGAAAATTTTTACAAAAATTTCTTTTGGGGATGACTAATTTTTTTTACTATGATAAGAAAACTTTCAGTGAAAACACTGCTTACTGTAATTGAAATTACATAGAATAGAAATGTTTTTGCCCCACAGGTGTACCTTGTTCATATACAATACTACTAAAAAGTTCATTCATTTGAAAACTATTCATGGAGCATGTACCTTGTGCCAAGTGCTATTCTAGGAGCTAATGATACAGGGAGACCAAGGCAGACAAGGTCCCTGGCCCATCAAGAGGAGACGAAAATGAGCGAATGTGAAAATCAAGATATATCAGATGTGATATGTGCTATGATGAAAATAAACCCTCCAATAAAAGGTTGTATGGCAATGCTGAGGGCAGACAGCCTTGCATTGTTCCTGACATTAGTGGCAAAATATTCAGTCTTTTACTATCATGAATGTCGACTGTAGTATTTTCATAGATATATTTTATAAGGTTGAGGAAGCTCTTTCCTATTCTTAGTTTACTGAGAGCTTTTAATTAAGTCAGGATTTGATGTTGAAATTTTACCTACTGAAATGATCTGATTTCTTATTTTATTTTACATTGTTTGAATTTTTCAAATATTAAGCCAAGGTTACATTCCTAGTGTAAACCCCACCTGGTCATATAATTATCATAGTTACTTATTATATTTAATTGTGACCAACTGGATTTATACCAGGCATGTAACCCTGCTTTAACATTTTTTTAAAAAATATTTAACATTTAAACCATATTTAAAATGTATATATTTACATTCAATTTGCTAAGTTGTTTTCCTCTATGTATATAAGGTATATTGATTTGTAGGGTTTTTGTTGTTGTTGTTTTGTGCTGTCTTTGGTGTTGTTATTGAGGTAGTGCTGACTTTTAAATAGATAATGGAATATACTCCCCTTCTACTTTCTGAAAGAGTTTGTGCACAGTGGCATTTGTTTTTCTTAAATGTCTAGAAAATTCTAGACATTTGGCTTGGAGTTGTCCTTGTGTAAAGGCTTTTAGCTATCAATTCAATTTCTTTATAGACATAGGATTATTTAGTTTATCCATTTCTTTTTCAAGTGAGTGTTGGTAGATGTTGTCTTTCAAGAAATTTGTTCATTTCATCCATTTTTTTTTATTCACTGATGCGAAAAACTCTTCATTTTCATTTTAGAGAGCTTTTCACATGGTATAAACTCTGTCCTTTATTGAGCCCATCTTTGCATGAACTGTTCCCTTGGTATCTCTAATTTTCTTGAAGAGATAGATCTCTATTCTTTTCCATTCTATCGTTTTCCTCTATTTCTTTGCATTGATCACTTAGGAAGTTTTTCTTATCTCTCCTTGCAATTCTTTGGAACTCTGCATTCAGATAGATATATCTTTCCTTTTCACTGGTAGCTCAGCTGGTAAAGAATCTGCCTGCAATGCAGGAGACCCTAGTTCGATTCCTGTGTTGGGAAGATCAGCTGGAGAAGGAATAGGCTACCCATTCCAGTATTCTTGGGCTTCCCTGCTGGCTCAGCTGGTAAAGAATCTGCATGCAATGGGAGAGACATGGGTTTGATCCCTGGGTTGGGAAGATCTCCTGGAGAAGGGAAAGGCTACTCACTCCAATATTCTGGCCTGGCGAATTCCATGAACTATATAGTCCTTGGGGTCGCAAAGAGTTGGACACAACTGAGCGACTTTTATATCACTTGCCTTTTGCTTCTCTTCTTTTTTCGGCTATTTTGTAAGGCCTCCTCAGACAACCATTCTGGCTTTTAACATTTCTTTATCTTGGGGATAGTTTTGATCACCACCTCCTGTACAAGTGTCACAATGGCATCCAGTCCCATCACTTCATGGCAAATAGATGGGGAAACAGTGACAGACTTTATTTTCTTGGGTTCCAACATCACTGCAGATGGAGACTGCAGCCATGAAATTAAAATATGCTTGCTCTTTGGAAGAAAAGCTAAGACTAACATAGACAGCATATTAAAAAGCAGAGACATTACTTTGCTGACAAAGGTCCGTCTAGTCAAAGCTATGATTTTTCCAGGAGTCATGTGTGGATGTGAGAGTTGAATCATAAAGAAAGCTAAGGGCCAAAGAATTGATGCTTTTGAACTGTGGTGTTGGAGAAGATTCTTGAGAGTCCCTTGGACAGCAAGGAGATCCAACCAGTCCAAACTAAAGGAATTCAGTCCTGAATATTCATTGGAAGGACTGATGTTGAAGCTGAAACTCCAATACTTTGGCCACCTGATGCAAAGAGTTGACTCATTCGAAAAGACCTGATGCTGGGAAAGATTGAAGGCTGGAGGAGAAGGGGACGACAGAGGATGAGATGGTTGGATGGCATCACCAATTCAATGGACATGAGTTTGAGTAAACTCTGGGAGCTGGTGATGGACAGGGAGGCCTGGCGTGCTGCAGTCCATGGAGTCAGAAAGAGTCAGACATGACTGAGCGACAACTGAACTGAGCAACTGAACTGAACTGAACTGGTGAAACTCTAGGTTAACAATTTCTTCTAAACACTTTAAAACTGGCATCCATTATCTTTTGGCTTGCAAGTTTTCTGACAAGAAGTTATTGGTTGTTCTTATCTTTGTTCCTCTATATGCAGCGTGTATGTGTGTTTAACCTTCATTGCTTTTAAGATTTTCTCCTATCACTGAGTAATAGCAATCTGATTTTTATATGTCTTGGAATGGTTTCTTTATACTTCTGCTTCTTGGGATTTGTTGAGCTTCTTGGTCTCTGAGTTTGTATCTTTTATCAAATTTGGAAAATTTTCCGCCATAATTATTACTTTGCATATTTTTCCTGTCAGTTTTTTTGGAGTACACCAATTATGTGTATTTTGAAAGAAAGTGAAAGTGAAGTCGCTCAGTTGTGTCCAACTCTTTGCGACCCCATGGACTGTAGCCCACCAGGCTCCTCCATCCATGGGATTTTCCAGGCAAGAGTACTGGAGTGGGTTGCCATTTCCTTCTCCACTGTCCATTGGGGCTTTCAATCTTTTTCTCACTATGCTTACTTTCAAAAGTGTTTATTGCTACATTTTCATCAGTCATTTCTTCTTCATATCTAATTTGCTTCTTTCCATATAGTGTGTATTTAAAGTATTTTGTATTCATTTTATCTCTGGATGTTCCATCAATCTTTTGTATATCTTCCACTACTTTTCATTATATTCATGATTTTCTTCAGATCCTAGAGTATATTTCATAAGACGTATAAAAGCTGCATTAAGGTTCACACTTACTAATTCTATTATCTCTATCAGTTATGGATCTATTTATACTGATAGATTTTCTTTTGGCTATGAATTATATATTCCTGCTTTTTTGTACAACTGATCATTTTGATGGGATGATGGACAAGGCAAATTTTATGTTGCCGGGTGCTGAATTTTGTTATTTTCCTTTACATATAGTCCATTGCTGTGGCATGAAGTTCAGTATCTTACAAATCACTTTAGTCCTTCAAGGTTTGTGTTTAGGCTTCCACAGGGGTCCAGAATAGCCTTTACCTGGAGACAAGCTCAGTCCATAAAGCATCTGCCTGCAATGCAGGAGACCGGGGTTCAATTCCTGGATCAGGAAGGTCCCCTGGAGGAGGAAATGGCAACCCACTCCAGTATTCTTGCCTGGAGAATCCCATGGACAGAGGAGCCTGGC